TGCTTACCTCTCCTGCTGCAGCCCTGCTAAACACTACTCTGGTCGCTACACGTGGTCCTCCAAAGTCTGCTGGGAAATCAACGCCTCCAGGTGTGTTATCTCCTTGGTTCACCCGCAGATCTCACTAGTTACTCCCGCTTACCTCCATATCACTGCCTGTAATGACATGGAAAGTCAGCAGGAAGAACAATTTAGTACTGCAGGGGCCCCAAGAGATCGAAACCCCTAGAAGTATCAGTTACCCAGCACTCTTCAGGGGTACCATTTATCAGCAGTGAAGTGGCATTCAACAGCGCAGGAGGCATCTTTTGAACTAGGGGGAGAAAGGAAATGGAAATGCAACCAGTATCGACATGAAGGTCAGCAGGAGGAACCAGTGGGAGCTGCGGGGAATGCTGGAGATCAACATTTTCTGAAGTGTCAGTTTACCAGAAGACTTTGGGGGGAACATTTCTCAGCAACGAAACAGCAATCAGAAGGAAACGCAAATATGTAAGCTTTAGTTTTACAGAAAGAGCTTGCCTGAGTTAAGGGTTGCTTTAACGTGGCAGTGCTCTGCATATGACCAATCATTTTAAAAGTTATTTTTAAGCAATATGATGAGCAAAGTTGAGTGCAGTTTTGGAAGCCATTAACAGGTGTCCTACTGTTCAGTACAGCATTTCTAGTTTAGAAATATTTTGTTCTTTAAGCCCCCTGACCATAACCTGACCATATAGACCATAATCTATTCCTGATGCTTTGTAAGCTCTACACCCATTTCTACATCTTGCACTGATAAGGGCTTTTAAGCCTCAAACAGTTGTGTGCAAGGAGGAATACATGGCTTTGTACATTAAAGCGATATTAAACCCTCCTTTTTAAAAAAACAAACATTTGCTATAGGGATGCCCACCTTTGCCTGAGGCTGTTGTGGTTTTTCTTTAAAATCTTTTCATTCCTCATACTCAAGTGGGTCTCTGCAGCGTTTGCCCCCCCCCCGCCCCCTGTACGGGTGCCACCATCGTTCTAATGGAGGCTCCCCTGCGTGCTCGTGCTTGCAGTGGTTGTGTGCATCCATAGACACACACAGCCCTGTGGCAGGCCACTCCCCTTCTGTCTTTGATTGATGGCAGAAGGAGTCTATGGCTCCTCTGCCATCAGTATCCTCCCCCTGCAACCAGGAAGTACAGGGAACGGAGGATCACTTCGGGACCGGCGGCAGGGACGAGCGTAAGTGTGTGGGGGACGGGGACTGGGACTGGGGGAGAAAAAGGTTCTGGGTGGTTTTTTTCCGGAATGCAAAGAATGCAATAAGGTAAAAAAACGCCCAGATCTTAATACTACTTTAAGGTTGTATTTGTACCTTTAAACCAGAAATAGCTCAGGATCTACAACTAGCCTTTGGAGCGTGTTCTAATGGCTTTGCCCTTTAGGCCTAAAATATAGCCATTAAATACAGTACAATATATTGCATCTGCATTCATTTTACACAAGTACAGAAAAATATGTGTTAATCTTGCCTGAAATTTTAAATTTCTGTCAGTAACTCTTAAAAAAACAAATACATTTTACTTTTTTTTATTATGTTATTTCATATACAGAATTGCAAACATTTCCTCTGCTTGTCATCTGGTATATTAGGAAATGTGATTTGCATCCCTGTATAAAACAGTTGCAATAACTAGCCTTGTCCTACTGTAGAGTGTCTATTTTTCAAGTCAAGTCAGACCTGAATCATAGGTTTGCACTGAGAAAAAAAAAGAAGTAGCAATGTACAATTATTGAGTGCTTCTACTAAACAGGAAGCAGAGTCTGCATATGTAATGAGCAAATATGGATGCCTCCATGTATATAAAGTGTATATTTACCACTATACAGTGAAGCAAGGTCTCAAATAATCAACATTCTTTGGTAAACCTATTTGCATTAAACTGATTTAAAAAAAAACACCTCTAAACACACTATAGTTTCCCTTTCACATAATCATTAAAAGGAAAGTATAACACAGACGATTATGGTGAGGAGAGGCTAAAGAAATGAAAAAGCCCTACACTGAACCAGTGCAAAGCACTCTATAAAATTAGGCTGTATCTGCGCTGCACACCAGCAGTTCTGAATGTACAGTTAGCTAATGGAGCAAAAAGGAATGATTTGCATAGCTCTGCTTCACTCTCCTGAAATGACGAATAATCCCCTAATTTATGGGATATGTGATGGATTGGGACATGCAAACTTCAATTCTAAGAAGGCTCTAATGGTTCTAAACAAAGTCACTAACAATTAACAATGCACAATAACTTTTAGCAACCAATCAAATATCAGCTTTAATCAAAGCAGTGCAGTAGACCTGTAAAAGCTGATTTGTGATTGGCTGGTATGTAAAGCTTCACATCGCTACTGTTTGTATGTTATTAACAATATGCCGTACATTACTTTTTTTAGTGGCATCCTGGCTTTCAGTATATTCTGGATGCCAGGATTCTGCATAAAAGATCCCATACCTGTAACTGGTCCCTTCAGTTCATATCATGAAAGCATTTGTAAAATACTTACCTGAATTTGGTTTAGAATTGCGTTGAAATTATATCCCATCACTGAGCCTGCTTTTTCAATATATCCATAGTAAAGGTATTAATATACTTCCTTCTACAAGATCAATTAATAACCCTCTCATCATTTCAGTATCCTTTTGGTATGGAATCTAAAGCTGCAATTTCCCACAAGTCTATGTAAAGTAGTCCACAGCAGGCTAAACTGCACAGGCAAATTTAAATTTTCACAAGAGAGGCTGGTCCTCCCAGGCAGCAGTTTGGTTGATATGCTTTCTTATTTATTATTAACATGAAAACTGTACTTTTCCTTTGTGTGAATGACAGTTTGAATGCAGTGCAGGCTTTTCAAGTCTTAAAACGAGTTGTCTTTAAAATACAATGATATTTATTTCTTAAGGATTTTTGCCTCCTTTTATTAGAGTTATTCAGATACCATCATCTTTCCAGTTTGAAAAAATAAATAAAAGAACCATTCATAGGTTTCACTGCTATAAATAAAATGAATTTAGAAGTACAGGTCACAAAAAAGTTAGCAGACTCTTGCATTTATAAACAGGCAGCACTCAAATGAGAATTGTAGTGAAGTAGTACAGATGGAGTGGGAGTCTTTGCAGCAACAAGTCCCAGAAATCCCCACAAATCACTGTGTAGCCCCACAGCACCCCAAGTCCTTTGATCTGCCAACATCTGTAAGCATAGATAGCAGCTGTCCCTCCTCTTGCCTGTGAATTATGTTTTTTCCATCACAGTGGAGAGTTCATTATTCTTTTATGGAGTGATTATCGAAACCAATCGTGGGCATCCAGCGTCCCTCCAGCTGCTACAGAGCTTTAAGCTGGAGCACGCACTGACGACCAGGAGCTAACAGGGCATACTAGGATATGTATGTCCTCAAATGAGAAGGGGTGAATGTTGCCCATGGCTAAATAAACAATTAACTACACTCCATATCTGTGTTTTATTACAAAAAGTCATCATTATTCATTTGCTGAATTCGTTTTTATGCATGTCCTCGCTAACAATCCTTTGATCATGCTTTGTATGAAAGTAGATCTAGACCCTAACTGGGTGACATTTATTTTGCTAAAGCGTTTTCAAATCATATTCAATAGCCATGTTTTTTTCATTAAGAAATAGCGCTTTCACTTTGTTTTAATTCCTTTTTTGCATCTGATTTCGTGCTGATCTCCTCCACCCTATTCCTATCTATGTGCATTCACTCCAGAAACAGCGGCTGACTTCCTGATAATGACAATTACTGGAATATTCCCTTACAATGAGTGTCAGAATGGCTGCTTATAGTCACCAGCTGTAGGCATGTTACAGGATGACAACACAGTAGGGCAAATAAGATACTAGGATAGAGTGTTCTCATCCCATAACAGGAACTGCCAGAACAAGGACCTCCATGGCAGGGTTACTGGGTATTATTTTACGTATAGCCATAGGTTCACATGATGCTGTAACAAGCAGAAATGATAATGGTCATTCTATTATTACATCAACTTGTGCAGAAAATATGGATTAGGCAGGGATCAGCCCTTTAACCAGGGAAAGTTGTGTCAACTTCTGCCTCTATTAAAGAATTAACGTTTGGGACCCTATGGGTACTGTTCACCTTAAAGTTCAACCTTGGACAAAATGTTCTTTTTAGTTTTGGATAGATTTAGGAAGGGTAAATTCACTTGCCTAGTTTTTATTGCTGTCTGTAATCTCATTGGGGAGATTTCACCTCACCTTCTGTCCCTGTGAGAGCAGGACAAGAAATGACAGGAGCGGTTGTCACAAAGACAGCACTAATAACCTTACAGAGTTCACTGCAGAGATTTCACATTATGTCTCAACAAGATGTAAGGGAAAATCTCCCCAATGGTAAACTAGATTGAAAATAAAAGCATAATAGAGGTTTATGTTCCTAATCCCCTCTGCAAAACTAAAAAAAGGAACTTGTGACTGGAGTTGAGTATTTAAGAAAGAGAAGTCCGTTGCTCTGTTATTATTTAAGGGACTAGTCATTTACGGTTGCATCTTCTCCATTTTATTATCACATACTAACAATTTTTAGCCACAATTATACCGTTATACGTTTACTGCTACTAAAGAAAACTTGTGAAGGCATAGGAACTGAAGCAAGGACTATCCCGTGTTGAGCTGAACATTTAGTAACACTATATGGTGTGCTAGGATACTGCTTTGTGGTGTCCTATGCCAATTTAATTTGAACATAAAGACAGTCGAAAGACTGATATTGTGTTTTTGTGTTTATTGGCTGATGAAGGATTGTTATTAAATGATGAAACATGTTAATTGTCATTCATTATTCGGGGTTAGGAATACATTCTTCATCATTATGTCCAGTGAAACCTCCTTCAAACAAGCCTCTTCCAGCTATACTATAAAGACTTATGATACGGTCATTAATCTCTGGTGTATGTTTTATATTAAAAACTCTGAGAACCAACTTACCAAAAGGGAAATATTCAGGAAGTTTCTTGAGATAAATCTCTTCATCTTTCTCCAGGAAAACGCAGATGATAATGCGGTCAAACTAAGAACAAATGTACACAGTGCAATATTAATATTTAATCAACATATATTCACACATTAGCTTGCTTTTACGTATACTTTCGTGGCAGAGAATAGAGATCTGCCATTGCTGATTTGTTTCTGAAGGGGCATGCCCTAAGGTTGCCATCCATATTCTTTATTCCCTACTTGATGAGTCATTAACCTTAAAGCCCATTCCCGCCTTTGTAAGTGATTAGCATTTATTGTGGTATTGTAGTAGTGCAGTGATCTTGTATATGTGTACATGCAGCCTGTTATCACTGTGTGTATGTGGAAAAACCCAGGCTGCAAAGTGGCTGCAAGGCATCAGCAGAATTAAGATGTAAAGATCCTTCCCCTCCCCTCACTCCCAAATACTTGTAGATACAAAACATTTTGCTGCCTACAGTTCATTCAGTGATGGTTTATATCTCCTTAAGAGACCAGCCAGTGTCTAAAAGCTCTACACTAATCTGTCCCTATGCACTTTATCAGCAGCAATTCCTGTGATTTCATTTTCATAACTAAAGCTCATTGTCAATATGGCTGCTGTGAACCCACCCTTTTATATTATTATTATACAGGATTTATATAGCGCCAACAGTTTGCACAGCGCTTTACAAATAAGGAAGACATTACAATTACAATACAATTCAAGACAAGATGGTAAGGAGGACCCTGCCTGTGAGAGCTTACAATCTAAAAATATATATATTTATTTATATTAGGGCTGGTAATGATTAACATTTTCATGTTCGATTAATCTAAATTTGTTTTAATCGATTAATCGATTAATTTCGATTAATTATAATGCACATACAGATCCAACTACATTAGCCTATACAGATACAGCACAGCAATGAAGTAATAAAATGAACTAGGATCACAGTAATCCAGCACTGTTATTAATCTCACGTGCCCCACTCAATATGGCCGCCGCTTGAGTGGGGCAACTCAGAATAATTACGTGCTGGATTAGTGTGATCCTAGTTCATTTTATTACTTCATTGCTGTGCTGTATGTGTATACGCCAATGCCTTGGCTGGTGCTCGTGCAGAAAGTTTCTTGGGCAAACTCACCGGCCCAAGTGGCTCCGTCGGCTAGCGAAGGGGGGAGGAGTCCGGTGACTTCACGGACATTATATATTTATATAAATTATACTGGCTTATTCGAAATCCTATTGGTCCTTTGCAAGCCAACTGACATCAGTTCAAAGGCCAGAAAGTGCATTATCATTAGTTGGCTACTTTCACAGTAAAATCCCCCATTATTTTGGCACATTCATGAACAAGCAGGGTTTGCCTAGAACCCCATGTTAGAGCCAAACCTGAGCCATACATCTATAAAATAATATTATATGTAACAATGACTCCATATGAATGCAGTTATGTAATATGGAGGCATTAACATAAGACAAAGCAATGATCCTTTGGCCATTTCGAGAATAATGAGCTGATTAAGTATAATCCTACCAACACTCATCTATTGGTCTATTTTCCTTACTCCAGAGTTCACTGTAGCATTGTTCTATTCCCTGCTTCTGCCTTTTACTCATCACCTCATGCTGGAAATAATGAAAACAGACCTGCAGAACAATATAAGTGTCCATTTAAAATATTTATAAAGCAATTCTGGACACAGAAAGCAAAACCATTTACAAAAAAAAAACTTGTTATGACAGAACTATGTAGGCTGCCATTGCCCATTGCTTCTTCTGCAAATCCTATGTATCTGGCTGGCATGCTGACTCTATTACAGTAGTACTTTCTCATCTGCATTCTTGTTCTGGGTCAGTGACTAACACAGTAATAAAGTCATAGAGTCAGCATAACAGCCAGGCAACTAGGAGTTCTTAGGAGGGGGTCAACTATGTCAATCCCTATATTTCTCTCATGTAAGGTTTTCCTTAAGGCCCCGTTCACACTTAGCGATTTATCGCGCGGTAATTCCCACGATATCGCGGCAATTTACCGCGCGTTATTGCTCTCCAATGCTTCTCAATGGGGCAAAGGGTCCTGCTGTCGTGGGTCGTGTGTCGCAAACGCGCGATTTGCGAATCGCGCAGTGTGAGTGGGGCCTTAAACTGAATAGTTTGTACATTTTGAGACCACCTTTTATTGTTACTAAATATTTGTGTTAGGGTCAGACTCTAGGGTGTTGACCCTGGTTACACTTGTGGGTCACCTAGGGTGGCAAGAGAGCTGCGGGTAGTGTAGGCTGACTTTGAGCTGGGCTTAGCAGAGTGAAGGATGACTGGACGCAGGGCCAAAGTTAGGGGTGGGCATGTGCTTCGGGCTCCGCATGAGGAGGGGCACCGTCTGCAGAGTGAGCAATCGACCAAGGGCGGACCTACCGCATCAGGGCCTGGGGCTGGGGGAAGGCCCAGTGATATTTGGCCCTGCCCCCCTTCAGTGGAGAAGGAATGGCAATTCAATTTTTTTGGCAGCCGTATGGTACTGCGCTTGCTGGGAACCTCGCGGCAGCCTTCCAGGGAACCACAGTGGGGCCTGTTTACAGCCCCGGTCTGCACATCTGCCCCTGCTGCAATCCTCCACATCTGCCCCTGCTGCGTTCCTCCACATCTGCCCCTGCTGCCATCCTCCACATCTGCCCCTGCTGCAATCCTCCACATCTGCCCCTGCTGCGTTCCTCCACATCTGCCCCTGCTGCCATCCTCCACATCTGCCCCTGCTGCAATCCTCCACATCTGCCCCTGCTGCAATCCTCCGCATATGCCCCTGCTGCAATTCTCTGCATCTGCCCCTGCTGCAATTCTCCACATCTGCCCCTGCTGTGATCCTACACAGCTGCCCTGCTGCAATCCTCTACATCTACCCTTCTGCATCTGCCCTGGGGGGGGACAAGAAAAAATCTTGCACCAGGGCCCTTTGTTCTTAAGGTCCGCCACTTCAACCGACTAATTTGTTTAGCAGAGTAGTAGAGCATACCACAAGTGCCCCGTCAGATAATAATACACAGCACACACTTGCAGGGAGAAGCGGCTCTTTAATGAATAAAGTAGCATTGGAGAATGAGGAGATTTAAAGCCTTGCCTCTGTGGTGGATCAGGAGAGGCACTGCCTTGACAAAAGAAGGAGATGCCAGAAGTGTGGGGTGGGGGCAGGAGTCTTTGCCTCGGGTGACGGAATGTCTAGCTTGCCACTGACTGGACGTCTGGGCAGGGTGCAATGCCATGATGTAGAGTAGGTAGCATGGGATGCCCCAGGAAGTGGAATATAAGGGCCAGCTACTATTCTCCAAAACTCCTGATTTGGAGATAGATTTTGCTGCATGCTGACCCCAGGTTGTGACCCCCTAGGTTCACCCTATTTAGCTAACGTAGATGACAGTCATCAGGAGACAAGGCCAGAGGTCAGGGCAGGCTGCTGACCAGGATCACCAGGAGAAAAGATAAAGGTCGGGACAGGCAACAGACACGGATACTAGAAGACAAGCCAAAGGTCAGGACAGGTAGCAGACAGGGATTACCAGGAAGAGGTCAAAGGTGGGTACACAGAACAGCAACAAGAACAACCAATTTGACAGCTTACAGGGGTTCAGCGACTAGCTAGGAAAAGCATTGCTTGGGCAGCAAGCTGTGAGCTTTGAGTTTAAATAGGGTGAGCAATCAGGTGAAACCCCCGGATTGTTCTCAAGCTGACAGCACTGATTGGCTGAGAATCTGCAAATGAATCAGTAGGTAAGATCGGGTGACGCCTAAAGTTGCCAGACCAGTGCAAGAGCCAGTTAGGAACAGAGCACATATAGTGGAACTACAAGCAACAGATCTGTGACACACAAGTTAGTAGAACTACAAGAAACAGATAAGTTGTAACGCTGGTCTGTGACAGTACTTCCAATTTGTTTACCAGCTATCCTGACACCAGTTTTAACTATTGTTAACTAACCTTCTGTAAGAGGACAAATGGTTTACTCTTGAGTATTATAAATGTATTTTAACTAGCTGTGTTTTTCCCCCTTTATCTTATCAGCAGTGTTTAGCATCAGCTAAACCACTAAACATAATAAAAGCCCTAACATTAACCCTTAACCTAGCTTTTTTTGTGTTTAATTTAATTTATAAATTTTTAGTTTACAACCATTCCATTTCCATATACATATACATTCTTATACCTTCATACATGTATGTATCCATCTTATCTTATTTTATAAGTTATCTTAAGTTATAGCATAAATCTTAATCTTCCATTCATTTCAACCATTTCATTACCTCTCCCAACTCATAAAGAGAGAGGATGGGGGGAATGGGGGGGGGGTATATGTGACCATTTTAAATGCAAGGTCTTCCCTTCTCTTTGAATTCTACTTGTAACAAAAGTAACAATTTCAAACATTTTTTATTTCACCCCCCTTGTATATTTAGTGTCTATTTCCTAAACGTTTTATATAGTTCCATGTGTAACACATTTTATTAAATGTAGTGATCTTCTTATTCATTCTCTAGTGTTTAATGTATGTGGAGGGAAAAAAAATACACCCAACACCTCTTCTCTTTTGATAAAATGGCAAAGGAATCCATATTTACATACATTAAAATCCCACAAATGAAACAAAAACAGTACAAAAACAAGAAAAAAACACAATTGGGGGTGATAGGGTATCCCCCTACCCCTGTCTCTATCCCCTCTTTTTGGAAGGATTCAATTTATTTCCAACACTTTTTAATCACTTCTGTGGGCACTTATGTCCGTCAATGTTTCCTGATTTCCATCTTTAGCTTTCTTCCTTTTCTTTTTTCTTGTAATCCCTTCTTCCCTCTTAATCCTCATGTGGGGCTTTTAATAGATTCAATCATATGTATAGTATATATTTCTATTTGTTTAAAATCTAGTCAAGTTGTCCAGGGTTTATAAAAGCCTTTGTAGTCACAGTTGCTCATATGGACTAATTCCTCCATTAATCGCAGCGTGTCTATATTTTCGAACCATTCTGTTATTGATGGAATGTTCAAGGATTTCCAATATTTTGGGATGAGTGCTTTAGCCGCATTAAGCATAAAGAGTATTAAGGTTTTTTAATATATTTTTATTGAGGATGTTGTAAGATGGAACAAATAAATCCTTGGTTCATAAGGTATAGACTTACCATTTATCTTTCCTCCTCCTGCCCCCCAGTTTTAACTATTGTAAACTAACCTTCTGTAGGAGTGACCACATCTGACAAAAGGTTTACGGTTGAGTATTATAAATGTATTTTAACTAGCTGTGTTTTTTCCCTTTATTTTATCAGCAGTATTGCTTTACGCGGACAGTAACACTTAACCTCAGCTAAACCACTAAACATAATAAGATCCCTAACATTAACCCTTAACCTAGCTTTTTTGGGGCATCCTTGTCCCACTGAGATTTCTCTTCACTTCCTGTCTGATAATTACAACAGGAAGTTAGAGGAAACCCTCCAAAGTGAGGGAAATCGCTGGTGGGCAGCAAGATCACCAGTGTATATACTTGTGCACTGCGCAGCAACTAATTCTATCAATGCAGAATTGGTTGCTGTGCAGTGCACAACTAAACACTTTCTGACGGTTAAACACCTTTAGCATAGCTGCACAATCTACACGGGGCGTTTATCAACCTGAGCGCAGATCATTATTGGATTTAATTTAGCAAGATCACCAGACCTAGTGTACCCAAATAGAGAGGGTGAATCTCCCTAATGGGAACACAGACACCAATAAAACCTGGTGGGTGTTCTAATCTCTCTCCAGTCTATCCAAAACTAAAAAAAGAATTGGCTTCAGATGTACTTTAAAGATGCCTCAGCCATACCTTGAAGAACTTACCTTTTGTCTTGATTTTTGTGCCTTAAGCTTTATACCTGTTTATATGCAGTGTGAGATAAACTAAGCCACTGTATTTGTGACTGCTCCCTCATGAGATTTGGAATGAGATTTGGTGATATCACTACTGTGATGCTCACTGTTCTTGCAGGAGAGAAAGCTGTGCCCAAGGACCTGCAGTGCAAGGATCTTCCTGCTTCTTCTGTGCTCCTTTTGTGGATCTGTGCTTTGTGCACCTCTCCTACAGCTTTTAAATAATCATCCCACCATTCATCAGATCACCAGGCATCAGGAGGTGGTTCACCTCTGACATGAGTAAGCAAAGCCCTGCTCCTCTGCCAAGATGGTCGATAGTCACCAGTAATGGGGAAAAGATAAGCTGCGGGGGGAGAGACCACAGGCAATACTGGTGACTAGTCATTTTGTTTGCTTTAAAGCTTTTATTTTAATCCCCATACAGATAAGGATACAAAAACAGCTTAAATTAGTTTGATACCATGCAGGTCATAAGGAGGTCAGAAACACCTGTGAAATCTTAGAGACATTTTAAAACTGATCTCAAATGCATTCGCCCATCTACAGTTTAAAGCGTACAAGCCTACACACAGAAAAGAAGCAAGCTGTCTTTTTTAAAAGGATACTTTTTACTACTAATAGTCAATTTAAATTCTCCAAAATTCTTTTTAGTGGTGTGCACAAACCTCTGTTCACTTTGTCTTACATTTTCTATGCACCTCAAATCAAATTTTTTATCCAGCTGCTATTCAATTCCTCTTTTTAGGGCATTATATCCTTGGATTACTTTGTTTTCCATGGGTAACTGATCATGGTTTTATCATGCTGTCTGTCTTTTGTGAAAAAATATGAAGAACATCAACTGGAAGTTACATATTTCCAAAGAACAACAACTATTTCACTGCACTTGGTGAACAGACCATCAGGGGCGTATCTGCCGTGAGGCAAACAAGGCATTTGCCTGGAGTGGCAGATTCCCTGAGAGCGGCAATTGCTGTGGTTCTCTCCCCTTGATACATTTTATTTATCAAGGGAAGAGATTCGGAGGCCTCAGTTTTTCTAAAACAATACAGACTAATGATTTCAGGACAGTGGTAGAGCACCAGAGCCAGGTCCCGGCTGCAACCTCTGCAACCCTGGTAGCTCTCATGAAAATGCCAAGTATCTGCACTGGTACTCGAAAAGTATCTGTGCATCCCTAGCAAGAATGGAACGTGTTCTGTTTTCTCTTTTTGTTTGTGATTTTTGTACCATGTTCTTATAAGTCTGATATTTCCCCTATGTCTCTGTAGCTTTTCTCTGCCTCATCTCTTTTTTTCAGGAAAAATAATTTATTTGTTCTAAATTATCTTTGAGCCTCTTTTGACTAGAGCACCCACCTTGTCCTTGTGGTCCTCCAGGTAGCTCCTAATGTTTTCCAGTGCTACATCAGCAGCCTCCTCAGAGGGGTATCCTGGTGGAAAAGCATAGTATATAAAAACAAAATATCATAACTATCCAAAACATAAATACACACCATAGGCTGCATACTCACCAAATACTCCAGTAGAGATACATGGGAAAGCCTGTAAAAGGATAAATATTTTTCAATAAAATTATTAATATAATTGTAGTCATTTAGCTTTGGTAGTGTTATTTAAATGGAATGTATATACTTATTGCTGTTCTAGATATATATGTTAAAGAGATCAGCTTGATGTAAATCATTTGTTAGCATTAAAAACTTTCTATGAATAACAGAAACCCACATAATAAAGTTATGCATCCTTGATATTTCTTTTTTTAGATTGCGAACTGCAGAACATTTACATCACTATATAGAGAAGATGAAGAACAGAACAGAAGTTGACTTTTTTCTTTATTTCTAAGATCAATCTCTAGTGCCAGTTGGTTATTTATTTTGTTCATGAGATGCAATTAATATTAATAGAAAAATAATAAAAGTCATAGTGATCCATGGTTTAGTTAGATATCAAGCATAACTAGAGTAAATGTATTATCACACAGGAAGGCTACAGTCAATATTTCTATTGAACTACTAGAGGTGTTCATCGCCTGTGATGATAAATGGAGAGAAAAGAGAGGAGGGTGTGAGAGAAAAGAGGAAGTATAAAATAGATAGAAGCATTACAGATTTGTTAAGCCTGACAATAAATGAATAGGAGATGTAAAACCGCTAAGTGCTGGAGAATTTAATTAAGAGAACATATTCTCATTGTAAAGATTTTCAGTTAATGGTAACTAGTGCTAGTATCTCACCACTGAGCGGAGCTTGTTCTCAGATGCCAGGTGCATGCTGTTCTTGTAGCAGTTACTCAGATCCTCCTTTTGTGTGGGACCAGGATTTCCCTCTGCCACTGGACCCACTGTATGAATAACATCTAGTAGCAAAAAAACATACATTATACAAAGCAAAAAAGTACCCCAGAATGTGATTGAATGATGTTTTAATCCTAGATAGGGAACAAAAAGAGGCATTTGAAGAAAGAGTGTTATAACACATCTAGCACCAATTGATGGCCTATAGATATAAACCTGTTTAACTAGCACTAGAAAGAAAGGAAAGAGAGAATTAGCATAAATGTATTTGTATTTAAGGCAGTCACACAATACTACTATGGAAAGTCACTTGTGTACAATGGACATTATTCCAGTACACTTCAGGCAAACTTGAAAATTTTCCATGAAATACATGAAGGGATCTCTTACTCACATAGCACCTCTAATGTCATGCTAGAATTGATTCTGTACACCACACTACTCCTTCTCTCAATAATTATTGTCATATGGCATCTCGTGTTTTGCAATGCACACAGCTCCAGTCATTTAAAAGAAGACAGCTCCTTACACCCCCTACTTGGTTACTCTCTTTAAGAGTGTTCTCTTGGGCAACTCCTTCCCTACGTCTATGCTTCATTCCGACATCAAAGCGATTCCCAAGCCTGGAAAAGACCTATGGGAATGTGCTAATTATAATCCCAAAGTCATCTTAAACTCAGATATAAAGATTCTGCCCTATAGCCTTAACCCTTTGCTACCATTCTGCCAGGGACAAAACAAGACAAGCCATAGACCTAACTTGTGTTGTTAACAAAATGAACACCAAAGCTTCAACTTAGCTTCAACACAGAGAAGGCCTTGGATAGACATAGTTGGACTTCTACCTTTACTTTAACCTCTACCTTATACCATATAGGCATCAGGGTTCCCTTTTTCCAGGCCATTTGGCCCCTATTTAAGGGGACAATGAGGAGGTTGAGGTCACGTTCTGAAGAAGGGAGCGTGACCCCGGAAACGCGTCAACGACGCCACAATCCAGTGGCACACAGACAGATTGCAGTACTGAAACTGCTGTTTCTCTGAAATCATCCATATACGCTGTTGTCTGACATACCATTGTGACTACCCTTGCACTCCTGTTTATCGTGTCTTTTAAAATGAAAAGGATTATCTGCACTGGGTTGGGCGCCCTTCTGTCTCTTTTGTCTTCCATTTTGGCCCTATATTCAACTCCCTCTGTGGCAGTGAGAACCCCACATGCCACATCCATACAGATATACAGTGGCACCCAGCAAGGATGCCTCTTATTGCCTCTCATCTTTGCTGTATGTGTGGACATGGTTGAAGTCTGCATTAGAGCTAATCCTAACATACAAAGGCATTAGAGGGAAGAATAAACCCTTTACCCTCTTGCTATTCATGGAGGACATACTACTTACGCTCACACAACACATTACTACTCCTCCGAACCTCCATAATGGACTTTCCCAATATTGTCAGTCATCGGGCTATAAGATAAATACCATAACATTCTGACTCTCTTAAGTATCCTGGGTACCTATTACTCCATCTTATGACTCATTGTATGGAGAAAATAGCTCTTCTCTGTTCAGAGACATCTCACACACCCTCCAGAAATGGAAATCTCTACATCTCTCACTCCTAGGCCATTTGGCTTCAGTAAAAATGTCTATCCTCCTGAAATTCCAATACTTGTTCAAGACCCTACAAATGAAAATTCAAAACATCACCTTATGGAAACAGCAAGCCATAGAATATCCAATTAACCTATTTCCCCTCTAAACTGCAAGCTGGCCTTGTGGTCCCTGCCCTGCATAAATAATATCATGTAGCCTACTTAAGAACCCTTGCATTCTGGTCCACTTTTCATGCATTTGATAAGTGGACAGAACAGGAGAAGCTCTGACTAGCATCTGTATCCCCAAATTCAATGCTACGGAGCTCCAACATCAATATACCAAACACAGACCTATTGAGACCCATGGCTTTACGAAAGGTATCTGGAGGAAGAGAAAGGATAAGTACTCCATAACTACAACTAATCTGCCATGTCCTCTTTTTTATTCATACTAGCAATACCAGATAGTTCTACACAATATATGGTTCAGTCCTGGAGCAAGCATGATCTATTTAAAATTCTTTAGGTAGTCGATGGTGGAGACAAGTGATTGCTCTCCTTCACTGCATTACAGGAGAAATACTCTATACCTACTAAAGATTTTTACTCCTACTTACAAGCTCTAACCCTTTAAACATTTGCTACCTTCTCGTAACCTAACCAGTTGGACTCATATATGGAGACCATCCCTCCAGAAAGGGGTTGAGCTCTGAGATTTAGCAACTCCTGATTTCTTTGCCAAGTGATCCTTTTTGAAAACATCAATACATGATAAAGTGGAATAATGTAAAGGACCTGGGCCATGAACTCCCCATCACCTCTTGGCAAACTATCTGGAGTTGTGAAAGCAAAAGCTTTATATGTATGCTTTACAATGAAAACCTATAAGCCTCTATGAAATATTTCCCTCTGTTTCTAATTTATGCTGGAGATGTCAATCAGGGATAGGCTCCCTATTTTATATACTGTATACTTGGTTAAGCTGCAGTATAAGGACTTATTTGGCACTCATGAAGGATATAATCTCCAATATCCTTGGATCCCATGTGCCCTTTGATCCCACCCATTATGTGCTAGGACTACCTTTCCAACATCTTTCAGTGACCATGAATAGCTATGAACAGCTGCACAATGTTTGATAGCACTTACATGGAAGCTATCTACTTCCCCATTAAAACTCCTTAACTATATTAACAAGGTGAAAACCACTGATCTTCTAATGGCAACTACAAAATAACAGAGAAATACAACAAACTTTGGAACCCCTTAATCCAAATTTACACTTCACTACAGGAAGGCGGATTTCACCCTCAGTACTTCCCCCCCCCCCCCCCCACACACACCACCACACTCGTCCTTTATCGATGACTGCTAAAATAGATCAATTAAAAACATATTTCCACACACAAGAACACTGAAAATAACTGGTTTTAATTGTACAGACTGAAAATACTCTGTAATGCAGAAAATGCCTTCCCACACACACACCTGGAGGAATCTCTCATTGGGCCAAGCTTCAGTATCTTACTAGTCGGCCCTGCTGGCTCTCAAAATACCTGAACAATGCCTGCATCTAATCAAATTGTTCAGATATTTTGACAGCAGGGCTGACTAGCAAGATACTGAAGCTTGGCCCAGTGGGAGATTTCTCCATCCACACAATTTAGTATAGATGAGGAATCTGTTGCACTTTTTCCAACTGACTATAGAAAATCTGCAAATAATCTATAGGTGTATGGCCGAATGGCTAGCTTTACACATACTTCCATCTAAAACTATCAATGTCAATATGTGCTTTGTAGTCTTTTAATCACAACTACATAGGCCTAGACCACAAAGAGTGTTGACCATTCCTATCTGGCAGTCTTGATTGCACTACTATATTTTTTCAACTCATTGTGCACACCTATTCTAATAATACAACCCCTCATCATAAAACATATTATTAAAACCCTGTAATAGGCCCCTATTAGCAGGACAGAATGACTGGCTGCAGTGCTTCTCACTCAATGCCATCTGAAAAGCCTGTTTTATCTGCCTGTAGTAAAATAATGTAAAACTCATAGGTAAACTCAGTAGTCTTTCTAACTTTAGCTTTGTGTTAATATTGGATGCATGATAAAATCAGAATTCTAAATGATATGACTCATTTCTTAGAGTTTATTTTTAATGAGTAGTCTTGTTATAATGATGCTGACATCAATTTAAATAACATATTGTAACTGACTTCCAAGGGGTGTACACTGGTACATTATACTCACATCTAGCAGGAAGTAGGTAGCCACAGGTAATTTTTGACTGTCCAGTTTCACAGCCACCAAGAGAGCTGCATTCATGCTTCAAGAGAGGACCTGCTGCCTGGTGTATGCATCCATCCACTTAAAAACAGAAAAAAAAATAAGGAAGACATGAACGGTGAAAATAAAATAAAAGACATTAGGCCTCCATTACATATTGCAACAACTAACAGTACGCAGCTAACTAGGAATGAGGTTCACGTTTGCGACAACGCATGATTCACACAAATTCTCCCTGATAAAAAGTGCTTTGTCTTTCCCTCTTAAAATTCAGCCTAAGAAAAAGGCTTACATGATGTGAAGCATGTATTTTCTGTTTTTCTGGCTCTTATCTCTGACATAATATACTATAATAAAAAAAAACCTGCCTTGTCTCTCTCTCTTTCATTGCTGCCCAATCAAGCTGCTTACATAGTCTCAAGCCACTTTGCTACACAGTATGTCTGGCTATTGTCTCTGAAATGTTGCTCTGTAATGTTTATTTAATCTTCGTAACAACTGCCTTATCTCTGGAATGTGGGTTTGTGATTCTGAAGTATTTTTGTGCACTCTGTGTTTATAATATATTATACACAATCTATGCTATGAAACATGTTTTGCCCCTGTTTGGCATCTACAAAGTTGAGGAATCTAGCTTTATTTTTGTTAGACATGTAAACCTTTACATAGTTTTTAGATCTGTTCTATCTACTACAGTACTTCAATCACTCAATTCTAGCCTATTACTGCAAGATACAAAAATCATATGTCACAGCAGCAACTTTTTTTTAACACTTCAAATGAATCAGATAAGCATGCTGCTGCTTTATGTAAGTCAAAGAATAATGAAAAAAAAAGGAAAACTGTATTTTGTGACATTGTACAGAATACAGTGTCGGTGATGCTGTTACAGGGGATCACTTAAAGGCATCTCTGGCACATGTAATTTGAAGAATTTGAGTTTTTCCCATATCACGCCCATCAAATAACATGGAGGGCCATCTCCTCGCTGAACAATATTTATTACATTTTCTTTTTGCGTTGGTATAGGTCCCCCATGGCAGTGCCCGGCTTCCCATATCCTTTAATTGACAATCTCCTGTCAGCCTTGAAAATGGAAAAAAATGATTTAGAAAATTCGCCTCCCACTGACTTAGCAAATTGCTAACTATTTCAGCGCTCCACAAACCCACCCGCCCATCACCACAGTTAACTCACAAAAGCACAAAGCAGCTTGTAGTACTCAGCTAACACTAGGTTGCTCAAACTAATGTCATATTGGTTGGCATACTTTACATCTAACACTGACAGGATTAAATACATTAATGTTTAAAGCCTAGGGTCTAAAAATAAATCAAAAGGTGTGATTGACCAAAGCACTGCACTTATACGTACTTAAAAGAATGTTAGCAGTATGCAGCACTAAGGGGCATATCCAGGTATCTTTAACCTTGCAACTAGCTCCAGATAGTAAAAAATCTGGCTTGTCATTAGGAATTCAGTTTGTCAAAGATAATCATCTTGATAATCTAGTGTGAGACTCACTAGATTAGCTTTGCCCCACAATTGCTGTCCGTCTAGACTGTATAAATGTGATTCTTGCTGTCAATATTGTAAGCTCTCCATCTCATAGTGTTCTAATCTCCCCCCTACCCTCTCTGTCTCAGTGATGAATCCGCTCACTGTCATGTTATAACTCCTCTCTCTCTCTGTTGTGTTCTCCTCCCTGTGGGACACAATTAAATATCATCTCATGAATTGGTTCTAATCTGGTAACTTGTAATTTAGCTGGAAATCAAATCAACAACATATACAGAACAGTCGACCTCTATATATGCAGATTTAAAGGATCAGAAATCAGAGCAAAGTGATTATCCTTCATTTAGATGCAACAGTGAGTGCTTTTGTAATAAAATGAAAAATAACAAAAGCTGGGTAAACAAGACGCCTTTACGGATGACTTAGACGGGAATGTTACAGAATATCTGAATTACAGAGTTCATTCACCCACTAAACATATTTAATGGCACTTCAGACAAGTTTTCATTAATAAAGGGGCTTTCTGGGTTCTATAGTTTACAATTAACTTCAACCTAGTAAGTTATACATTTTTGTAGCTAAAATTGACAAGGACATTTTAAAAGAAACCTCCTGCGAGAATAATATGGAGGATACCACTGCTGACTTCCCCTTAAAATTGCTATCAGCCCTGATCTCATGTTGATTCTTCAACACTCCAGTATACTGCAAATCCCATAGGTGCAGGCCAAATGGTGGGTTTTCACCTTCAGTCAATCCAGCCCAAAAGCCAGCCGCACTCCACGGGTCTTAAAAATATAAATCCAATCTTTATTGTAATTCACAGGTACCGTATATATGCACCACGAACGTGCTCCCCAGTACAAGAGAAACCCTTTAACACATTTCACCGATAAGGCTTAATCATAGGAACCTATGATTAAGCCTTATCGGTGAAATGCGTTAGTGTTTTTTTTCTTACAAAAGATTGGATTTATATTTGAAGATTTGTGGAGTACGACTGGCTTTTCGGCCGGATTGACTGAAGGTGAAAATGCACCGTTTGACCTGCACCTATGGGATCTTCATTACATTGATCCAGCCGGAGAATTGGAGCGGTAAGATTTCTTTGTGAACTCCAGTGTAATGGTTTTTGGCAACTGGTGTCAAGAACAAGTGAAATTTGCAAATGTACACAGACATGCTGACTTATAAATCTTCCGCCCAGCCATATGTGTTTCCACCACTGGATGGAGCTGAGGAGCATAGGACTGAGTTTGGGTCATAGTTTGAGGACTGCTGAATTAAGGGGTTTTCCTATTTGTAAGAGTTATTATAAAACATAAGCAATCCGGCTCTAGAACCAACAAATTCTTTGGTGGACCACCCTTGGGTGAATGTCTTTTTTAGTATTCAAAATTAATTGAAACTAAAGTGACACTAAACTCAGGAGTTAAATCTTAAAAATGCATTCAAGTACCTTAACTATTAACAAAAATGTATCTTATTTGTGTATCACTCAGCTGTAGTTCCTCAAATCATCTCTGAATTGGTGCTGACACTGTCCTTCCTTCTGGAGGGTGGCTACTTTTGTCCCCCTTGGTCCCTGTGTGTGTTGTAAAGTATCCACCACTGCAAACTTGCTTCCGTGATGGACTACAATCTCAATACAAATGACTAAACTAAATGTGAGATTGTAGTCCATCAAGGAAGTGAGCTTGGAGTGGTGGATACTTTACAACATACACAGGGACCAGGGCTGGATTAAGATCATCATGGGCCTGGTTCTGAGGATTTTGGTGGGCCTTTTTAGGGAAATACATTTTTTTAAAAACATTTTAATTACCATTAAAGTGCATGAACAATACATTGGATATCTTAAAGACACAGAATAAACAGGCTTTTTCACTGAACCCCCGAATTTCCTAAATGAGGCAAACTGGTAAATTAAAAACTACACATTCACTTTTCATGCTCTTTTTGCTTGCAAATTCATCAAATGTAGAATCATCCAATTACACTGCATTACATTTTATATATAATATATAGGAAACATCATGTGACACAGAACATTCTGCGACATCTGTTGTGGCTGCTGATGGGTTAAAGGTGGCAAAAATCATGTTTAATAAAATTAGCTAGGAGGCCTTACACTTACCACCAATGTAATGGAGGTATTCTCACTAACCAGTAGTATAACAGAAGTATTCTCACTCTGTAGATGAACATGCACACTCAGCTGAATCCAACCTGCCTGTTTATAGGACAATATTTGATTAGCTAAATCCATCCTCGTCTATTATTACCCCCCAATCCTCCAGTGAGGAGACCATCTGTGACTCTCATCACCCCTCTGGTCCCACTGTGCCCCACATCCCCTCTGCTCCCACATCTCCCCTCTGGTCCCACTGTGCCCCACATCCCCTCTGTTCCCACATCTCCCCTCTGGTCCCACTCACCCCCACATCCCTTCTGCTCCCACTCTCCCCCCTCATCACACTTTTGCTCTCACTCTCCTCCTCATCACCCCAGTTCTCCCACTCTCCCCCTCATCACCGCTGTGCTCCCACTCTATCCCTCATTACCCCTTTGCTCCCACTCTCCCCCCTCGTCACCACTTTGCTCACACTCTCCCCCCTCATCACCACTCCGCTCCCACTCATCACCCTTCTGCTCCCACTCTCCCCCTCATCACCGCTCTGCTGTATCTTAATGGAGCCCTCCCTCTTGTGTATCTCACCTTCTGGATGGCAGCTGGGGTGATCTCCCCCTTCTCCCACTGCCACAGGATACTTTTTTATTGTTTGCATGTTATCACAGACATTTCACACAGTTGATGGGAGACCAGCATACCCCTTAAAGAAATGTTGACATTGTTAAAACTAAACCCAGCTTTCAGGCAGAATTACTGGCTCACAGTCAGATTGTGAAAGGGTTATGAATTCTGATTGCTGTACTAGACCACAAATGCATTGCAGTTGCTGTAGATCAATAGTACACAATCTCTCTTCATCATCTTCTTCCCCAAATATGATAGACCCTGATCACTGACATGTTACCACAGAGATAGCACACAGATAAAACAGACACTGGATGAAGAACAGCTGAAGTGAAATACCTTTCATGCAAGGAGACACTGCCAGAATCCCAGACTGTACCACCTTCTATAATTGTGGGGGGTTCATATGTCATAATTTGCATATAAATGGAGGCTCATTCAGATGTAAATACCACAATCCATTCATATGTAAATCTAACAGCCGGGGCTATTTTCACTGGTGGGCCTAGAGCTGGTGCTCCAAACGCCCCTATGTTAATCCTGCCCTGGCAGGGACAATGGGGAACAAAAGTAGCCACTCCCCAGATGGAAGGACAGTGTCAGCACCAATTCAGAGACGATTTGAAGATTCGACAGCCGAGTGATACACAAATAAGATACATTTTTGTTAATAGTTAAGGTACTTGAATGCATTTTTAAGATTTAACTCCTGAGTTTGGTGTCACTTTAAGCCCTTTTATACAAACATGAAACCTGAACACAAAATAGTGAATTCCATTATAAACAACAGACTGCTGAACTAAAA